GGGGGCCCGGCTCCGCCCCCAGGACCCGCCCCCCTTCCCCAGCTCACACTGGAAGTTCAGGTCCAGAAGGTCCCCCGAGCTCTGGAATGCCTCGCTGTCCATGGTGCCGGCCGGAGCGGGGCGCCTGTGTTGGGGGGAGCGGGGAGGTTCTCAGACACCGCCCGTCCGACCCCCCTCCCCCCGCAGGGAAGCTGGGGCCCAGAGGATCACCCCTCCACTCCCCGGCTAGGAAATGCCAACTCCTTCCAAACCCCCTGGAAGGCGCAGGACAATGAACTCTTTATGTGACTGACTCTTCGTCCATCTCTATTTCAGCCCTAATAAGATCTGAATAATTCCTTCAACAATTGATCCGTCGATCACCTACTATGTGCCGGGCATTATAGCGAACAGAGGGTGCAATAAAACAGCTATCAAGCCCTAACCAGTTTGGCTCAGTGGATAGAGCGGTGGCCTGCGGACCTAAGAGTCCCAGGTTCGATTCTGGTCAAGGGCACATGCTGGGGTTGTGGGCTTGATCCCCAGTAGGGGGCATGCAGGAGGCAGCCGATTAATGATTCTCTCTCATCATTGATGTTTCTATATCTCTCTCCCTCTCTCTTCCTCTCTGAAATCAATAAAAATATTTTTTAAAAAAAACAGCTATCAAGACCTGGCTGCGTATCTGAGTTCGTTAGAGCATCGTCCTGATACGCCCAGGTTGTGAGTTCCATCCCTGGTCAGGGCACACACGAGAGTCAATTGCTGAACGCATGAATGAGTGAAACAACAAACCGATGTTTCTCTCTCTCTCTCTCTAAAAATCATTAATAATTATAGTAATAAAGAAAAACAACAAAAAGAATAACTATTAATTACTGAATGCCTACTAGGGACCAGGAGACAGTATGCTAGATGCTGAGGATATTTAAAAAATATTTTTTAAATATATTTTTATTGATTTCAGAGAGGGAGGGAGAGAGAGAGAGAGAGAGAAAGAAACGTCAATGATGAGAGAGAATTATTGATCGGCTGCCTCCTGCATGCCCCCTACTGGGGATGGAGCCCACAACCCAGGCATGTGCCCTTGACCGGAATCGAACCCGGGACCCTTCAGTCCCCAGTCCGATGCTCTATCCACTGAGCCAAACCAGCTAGGGCTATTTTTTTAAATTTTAAGGTATTGATTTTGAGAGAGGGAGAGAAACATCTACCTGTTGCTCCACCCATCCACTGGTTGATTCTTGTATGTGCCCTGTCTGGGGAGCAAACCCTCAACCTTGGGGTACGCTGGCCCCGACCAGGTAGCTCAGTTGGTGAGAGCATCGTCCCCATATGTCAAGGTTGAGCGTTCCTTCCCCAGTCAGGGAACATCCAAGAACCAACCAGTGAATGCATGAATAAGTGGAACAACAAATCAGTGTTTTTCTCTCTCTTTCTCTCTCAGTTTAAAGTCGAACAATAATGATAATCGGGCTGCCCACTGTGTGCCAGGATTTGTGCTAGTTGCGTGGTATAACAAAATGAAACAATCGTTTATTGATGAGCTGCTGCCTCCTAGAATTTTGCCAACTGCTTTGCACCCAATACCTCATTTGATGGTCAAATCAGCACAGCCGGCAAGAAAGAGGGGCTCAGCAACATTTGTTCAAGGTCCCCCTGCAAGAAGTCCAAAGCACTAGGTTTCACACCTGGATCTACCTTGTTATTTTGGGTCCCAGAGGGCAGGGACCACTCAGCTTCATCTCCTCAGAGTCCCCACCCAGAGGAGACCTAGCTCATAGGGACCCAGTGTCAACAGGAAGACCAGGGAAGTGGCGGGGGGTGGGGTGGGGTGGCTGGGCTGCTGTGGTCATTAGCCCGGTGGATGGGAGCCAGGCCACCAGGAACCGGTCAGGCCAGCACTATCTCCATCCCACAGCAGCCGCCACGCCCACCAGCTATGCCACTTCCTCAGGCTTCACCAACAGCTTAGCTCAGCGTGGGCAGCAGGCGGGCTGGGGCATGCTAGCCCGGCCTCCGTCTGACAAGCCTCAGGACAGAACCTGCTGGAGTTGGTGGCTCGTTTGGGTGTGTTGGGAGTCTATAACCTTGGGCAACGACTCCCCTCCACTCTTTGGGCCTCAGTTTCCCCAATAATGAAGGGGGGAGGTAAATCAGCTGTGCTGAGGGGCCTCTTGGTCTCTCAGAGGCTTAGATTCTGAAACTGTAGGGACCTTGAGATGGTCCCACAGAGCCCCAAACCCTCAGCTTGAGTGTCTATTGTTCCAAAGGTTTAAATCCAAGATGCGATCTTTGGAACATTCTAGAATTCTCCAATTTGGCTATCCCAGGACCCCAGGGTCCTAAACGCCTACGTGACTGTATGGTCTAGTGCAGTGGGTAAGAGCACAAGGAAGGAGCCAGACTTCCAGGGTCCTAATCTGGTGGCTCCACTGCCCCACCCTGACAAGAGTACCTCGGTTTCCTGATCTGGAAGATGAGGAGAAACAGCAGTCTGCCTCAGCAGGGGTGTTTATTTTAAATCTTATTTTCCATATTATTGATATGGAAACATCAACAGTGGTGATGATCCAACTGGCCAGAAGGCGCAAGAGGAATTAAGGCTCTGAGAATTGAGGCCTCGGGCAGCAGAGACTACAGGAGTCAAAATTAGCCTGTCAGACTCTTAGATACACAGGAAACACCCTGTGTCTGTTAAAATGTAAAAACTGAACAATTCCATGCAGCCTCCTGTGCCAGCATTTTGGCAGCGAGCGGTTGTTTTGGGGGATATTTCATGATTTCCAAATTTCTAAGACGCTCAGATCCCACGCTGACATCCTCTGGCTCAGAGGAAATGCCGACGCTGGGCGTGGGGGGCCGACCCGGGGCTGGCGCGGG